CATCTATATGTTCTAACATAGTCTGGAAGATTACATAGGCTACTATTTAAATTACGCGCGGACGAAGTCGCGGGCGACAGCTAGTATTATAAAGTCCCAATTGTTTACGCTACAATTGTTTTTACATTAATGAGTTGTGGGTCATAGATTAAGTAGGAATTTTTACATTTCTCGGCATCTCCGAGACACTTAAAAGGTAATAACATACTACTAAATGCTGCAAGCCAAGTAAGACCTTCTTCTGACCTTATCTTATACTTTGCATATTGGATTATATGAGGAAACTGCTATAAACTGTATAAAAGTATTGTTACAAAGAAACATAACATTCTTAGCCAACTTTTAGTTAATACAAACTAAACTGCTACATTTACGTAACTAAAATACAATGTTACATTTCGTAACGAACTGAAGGATATCGAGTAAAAAAGAATCATCATTTGTCTCCGTAACTACTACAAAAAAAGTACAGTTTCATGATTTGTACGTGTGTCGCGTTCAAATCGCCCGATAGTGGATGCCTTGAGGGCTATCGCTTATATTGAGATCGGTGATGTGTCGTGACAGGCTCACAGTCGCGCCCTCTTGCGCCATAGCATTGTACCACAAGGTTGTCATGTCGGAACAATGTCTGAGTTCGAGGTCAGGGCTTCGTTTACTGTAGATAATACTTGGTGATATTGTTTCAATGATTATTCGCTTTAAATAACAACATTTTAGTTAATAAATTGTTTAAAAACAGTACAAGCAAACGGACATATCCCAATTTGGGTTAAACCTTTAACTAATATTAAATGTTGAGGGCGATGGGACAGATAGATTAACGAGAAATTACAAAACAACTCAATTAAAAAGAATACTAAACCATATACAGTCACATACAAAAGTGTGTATTTTTACAAACAAATAAAATAAATCGAGCAACAAACAAAACATTTCCCGCGTCAACAGTTTCAAAGTTAACGATATCAGCATTACCTCCCCCGGTCTGTACCGCGAGAGCGAAATGCACTCACAATAATGTTTCCGAAGCGACGGGCTTATCACAGCCGGCTAGCTCGCCACGACCCACTTCGTGACACAAGCCCAGTCTACGCGACTGTACACACATACACAGTCTACTCTAATGTACACAAACTGTACATTTGTAACACAATTGTACAGAGTAAAAATATAAGCCAACAGTATACCGTAGACAACCCTAATGGCGAATTAGATTAGGAAACATTACTACGTCATACTTTAACATAAATTTGTTACTTTAATATTTAAAAATCAATCGCTGTTCGTTAGTCACGCTAAAACTCGAGAACGGCTGAACGGATTTATCTTATCTTGGTATTGAAATGTTCGTGGAGGTCTAAGGAAGGTTTAAGAGGTGTGAAAAATTCAAATAACTGCCAAGAAAACCCTTTAGGAACCTTTTTTTAATACCGAGCGGACGAAGTCGATAGCTAAAAAAAACGAAGAAAATAGGTTATATATTGTATTTGTTAAAGGTCTGGGCAAATTATTTTATAGCGAGTGACATTAGATATACAACATTTAGTATTTAACTCTAGCCTTTCTAGATTTGAATCTATTCAACCACTCGTACCACATATCGTGTATTGAATACTATTATAATATATCGCTAATGGCTAGGAATTGTGGCAGGCTGGGCGGTGCGGGTAGAGTGTTTGTTTGCGGTTGCATTTGAATACTAATTAGAAATTGCGGTGACGCCGAGAATCCTTTAAAGCTTTTTTAAAGTCTCGCATGCGATAACAGTTTTAAGATAGTTTACTAAATTATGATAAAAGTTTAATAACCTTAACAGTATTCCTTTGTTATAAAATAATTCCTTAAGGTCAATGTGTCTCTACAAGAAACAATATACCATTATTTACCATAAAGTTAATTTATTGGCAATCACAGACAAATATTTTACAATTAGCTGCTGCCCGGGACTTCGTTCACGCAGACATAAAAAAAAAATCTGTGCCAAATTTTAACGAGATTCGTTGAGCAGTTCCGGAGATACGACCAAACATCCATCCATCCAAACATTCGCATTTATAATATTAGTAAGATTAACAGATTAAAAACTATGTCTGACATGATAATAGGCTTGCACTGTACTTAAACACATTAACGCAATTTTTCAAACACAATGAGACGAATTAAAATGTATTTTGTTCTAGTTGTCATCAGTGTAGAGACGGGCTAATACATTGTTATTAGTGTTATAATTCAACAGCTGTACCGTAATTAACACTGGCAGTAATAAGGTATAGTGGAAATCTTCGGTTGTCGGCACATCAGGAGCGACAGTCCGCATATTAAATACACACACGAGTTGCATTTGAATTGTAAATCAACCGAACCTGTTTGTGTAACGAGCTATTAACTTTAATAAGTCGGACACGGATCATTTAGATATGGACGTGAAGTTTTAGTCGGCTGGCAAAATGTACAAATTATTTAATTAATAAAATTCGGTTGAAGTTTGTATTAAATCTAATTAATAGATGGAGTCCGAGACTCCGTCCGCTCGGATTAAAAAGTCAATAGGTAGTATATGTTTCCTTCCAGGCTATGATCTACTCTACCTCTTGAGCCCTTCTAGAGATACCTTCAAACAAACAAACATACATCGAACAATTCGTCTGTATGTTTTTTTTTGAATGAAAAATCAGAACAGTAACACGTTATGACTTTGTACGTGTCAGTTTTCTCTCTAATATGTCATGACATTAATGTATAAAAAGCTAAAGTGCCTAAGACGTAACATAAAACAAGTACAAGGCCAATATAGCTACTTTTCAATATTCATATACAAATCATGATAAAGTAATTCACAAATTATTTATGACTGCGCTAAATATGTTCTAAGGCACTTTTAGCTTATATTATTTATATTCCAAATGCGAATATTTGGATGGATAGATGGATGTATAGATATAACGGTTGCTTGGATCTCTAGACATAGTCTAGAAGAACTAGGCTACTAATAAAGTTTTATTTTTAATTGCGCGCGGACAAAGTCGCGAGAAACAACTAGTTTCCAATAAGAAAGATAAAACCATCCTCACACAGGTTATACTACGCTAATGTAAAATATTATTCACTGTAAATACTTCGCGATACTTTTAACACTAACAAGTACAACCCACGTCGGACCACCCACGAAAAACTAACAGAGTGTTCACTAAATTCATCTCAGAGTGGGCGTTAAATAAGAAAGCCTATGTGTCTTAAGTAAAAGTTCAGGAATATTTCATCAAATTATAACTACTGAAGCGTGAAATTACTTTCATCAGAGGCTATGAGACCTACGTCAAAAGAGTCAAAATTATCTTACTAAAATATAACTAAATTTTACACCAAATACATATAAATACACAGATAAAGATCACGATCATCTGAAGCTTTAGATTTGAAGATTATAATTTATCTAAGTATTATTATAGTACAGGATGGTAAAAGAGCACTTGGCCCTGTAATAGCAAAGTGGATACTGCCTGTAGAGATACGCAAAAGTTAAAAGTTTGCAAATGCATTGCCTACTTTTAGACAGACTATCAAACTCCTATATTATACTAAATACTCACATTTTTTTTTCTATACTAATGGTAACTGACAATATATTACTAATATTATAAATTTTTGGATGGATGGAGATATAGATGGATGTTTGTTTGAAGGTATCTCCAGAACGGATTCATGGATCTCGCTGGAATTTGACATAGACGTAGAACATAGTCTGGAATGTCACGCGGACGGTGTCGCAGGCTACAGCTAGTAATTTGATATTATTGTAGATTCACAAGGGACATTCGTACATATAGGTAGTGTGTGGGGGGAGGAGTTTGTACATGCAGCATGTTCGGCGCATCACAAAGTGGGTCGCGCTCCGGCGGCTGCGATAAGCCAACCAATTCTAAAACATTACGAGTACCACACCGCCGCTGTAAGTGGATTGCATTTCCTGAATAATAGAGAGCGACTACATCTGGGGATATTGTTATGTTTTACACATTTAATTATTTAGATATTTTAATGATTTGAAATATTTGTAAAAAGTACTAAGTGATGTTCATATGTTTGGATTTGTATGAGAAACTAGATATCGCCCACGACTCGGTTCGACGGATATTAAAAATAAAAATTAGTAACTTATGTGTCCCACCAGACAATGTTCTACATCTATGCCAAATTTAAGCTACATCCGTGCAGGTTTTCTGGTGATACCTTCTAAAAAACCATTGCCATCCAACCATCCATCCATAAATTCGCATTTATAAGTAAGATGGGAGCAATCTAGCAGCAGGAAAACCAAGGTTATCTTCCCAACAACAGGGGAACTACAGATGCGTTGCCTCTGAAAAAATGCCTAAGCACTTGAAGTATATGCTACAAGTGTTTCAAATTTCATTTAAATTCGTGCTGCCGTTCAACAGTATATAACAAAAATATACATCCAAATATTCGCATTGATAAATATCGCTTATGTATTGGAAGAAATCCTGAGAATAATATTTTTTTCGTACACAATAATCTACTCTGCGCAGTGGCGGCCAGACTTATGACGGTACACACGGCTTTTAATAAATCACTTTTGATGTGTGCGTTATCGCTTGGGATTTACCGACGTTGCGGAAAACTATCTAATTTAATCTGTTATAGCTCATAACGACGATAAAAATAATAGCCCGTTGTTGCTACGTATTATGAAAATATTAAATGCGAAGAGTTTTATCAAATAAAAATACAAATTGATTACTCTTCAACTTTTGTTGTTTTTAGTTCTATTTATAGATCTATTAAAGGTCAAAAGAGATCTGTATCTGAGATTATTATTATATGATACAAACGTGACAACTTTCAACGACAACATAGAGGATTAGGTTATCGACACCGCAATAGCAGTTTTATAACAGTAACGTTGTAGTTCATAATTCTACCCATTCCATTGGTATACGTGAGTGCTGGAAACTGTAAGTTGAGATGGTACTTACTCTAACAGGTGCCGGGAAGAGCGACGCGGCGTCCGGCTCGGCGGCGTGCGCGTGCGACATCTGGTGCGCGCGAGCCTGGCGCTCGCGCTCGCGTTCGCGTTCGCGCTCGCGCTCGCGGCCCGCCCACGCGCCCCCCGCGCCCCCAGCGCCGCCCGCCGCGCCGCCGCCCGCCCCGCCCCGCTCCCACTTGTCGTACCTGAAACAACACAATCACATGTTTACAATTTTATAATTATACTTTCTTAGCAATCGGTATAGACAACTTCAAGCCAATTCAGAGATGAACGGTCTATATTGATGTTCGAATATATGGGCAGCAGTTTGCATTCACTGCAAAAAAATGGAGTCAGTATAACCGTGTACCCTAAATCTGAAAGTACAGACTGCTAAACGCAGCTCAGAAATATTATGACCAGAAAATTATTACAATCGCAGTAGAATCTTAACAAGATCCTAAGTAATTAATTAATAAGGAGAAAATTATCTCCTTACAATAAAGTCTTTATTATTCTTTTGATGAAAAGATAACTGAATACCATTTTCACTATTAAGATATTTCCTCTCGGGAAAAGTTAAGAAGTCTGTCCTGTAAAGAACAAGAAAAGATCTGTGTAAACTCTTTAGCTATTGTTTCAATGTTATAAAAAGTAAGAACATTGTTAAACTTTCAATAATGAGTAGATTCGAAATAGAAATACGCGGAACTAAGTCTCTTATTTAAACACGCGTGAATTTTCAAAAGAAAAAAACTTCTAAAGTACTTGCAAATAAAAAAAAATTCTATCAGAAATAATCCAAATAAAATAATCCAGAACCATGAGATGGGGATTTGACGGAAGAGGTGACGCATAGGAAGGTGAAATATTCTTTTTCTGAGCGTCCCGTTCTCCGTCAATTTAAGTTAGGCAACGCATCTTCAACTACGGGTGGCTATGGGCAAAGATCGTTCGCCATTTCGGCGAATTCATGTGGCAGCTTGCTCTTTTGCCACCTTAAAATATAAAAAAATCTTTTATCTCAATGTTATATTACGGAAGAATAAATTAAGTAAGAGAAATGCAATATTCTTATACTAGTACAAATGTAAGACAATTTGTAAGCATTCCCTAGCTCTCAATATATTAAATGATCAAATAATTCGGCTCTTCCCATGCACTAGAGCGCTACGATCATAAAATTCCAGCTACCCTCTTAACGTGTCGTAAAACGCGACTAACGGTTCGCTGAGAATATTTATTTATCATTTTTAAAAACATCTTTCCACCCCTCTGGAAGGGCGCCAGTAATGCGTATAATATTCCTATTAACTCTGTCATATTTCTCAAGCAACTGTAAATTTTAATGACTTGTTAAATTAAGACTTTAAAGAAATTGTCCAACAGCCTCAGTCAGACGTTTTAGCTGGGCACTAAAGGTGACTCTTAGTATAGATTTGTTAGGCAGAACACTACACTAAGGGCATTCCTTATTGCCTACTTCTTACATTAAATCTACACTAAGGGAGAACACCTAAATACTCTGTGTGCGGCAGTAATTCAAGCATGTTAAAAATATATATCACTAGATGTCGCCCGCGACACCGTCCGCGCGGGATTAAAAGATAGATAGTAACCGATTCTCAGACTAAGTGAATATGAGTATAAAATTTCATAAAAATCAGTCAAGTTGTTTCGGAGAAGTATAGGAACTAACATTGTGAAACGAGAATTTTATATATAAGATATAAAAAATGAATACTTAACATTAAATAACAGAATCACATATAAAAAGTTAAAACATTACCAACTGTTTAAGAAGTCAGAACTCTACACCTCTAATCAAAGGTACAATTCTATAAAAACTAATAAAGTCAACTTTCTCGAAATTGTCGTAACAATTTACTCAGCTATAACTTTAGAGACAAAGGAGCATAGCGCAATTAACCTCAATGGCATGTTGTTCGCGCGGGCAATATTAGTGCCGAACTAAAAAGTATAAAAAAGTGTTCCCGCACGGGGCTTATGCTTAGGGTTGTCACCTGTACGGGTTCAACACTCCAGGGTTCAGAAATTCTCTGGTTGGACATCGATGTCTTCGATTTAAAGTGGGTGATATAAATTAAGTCATTCTTCGATTTTCGTCTCGACTAAGCTTCCCGAAGTTTCGTCAACATTTTTCAAGTAGAACCTTTTCAATTTTTTTTATTTCGGTTAAGTATTGCTGCTATATTTGTTCTTTAATTGAGAACGCTTAACTTTATTGCATTAACTTCATTCTCCGAGTCCACTTTGGCAATCACTGAGCTGAAGATACAAGACACTGGATGAATTAAGACATCAAGTAAGAAGTCATGGTTGCCAATTTTTGCATACCGTTTCGTGACTTCATTAATTGTATGTTGACAGCCCTACTCATGGTACGTTCGGCAGTAGGTCAGCCTTTTGTATCGCGCAACCAGGACTCAAATGAACAGATGAAACGCCTCTGAAGGTACAAACGAAACTTTTAAATGTACAAAAAGATTTTCTGATTTTACTTAAAATTTTATTCAAAATTTTATACAATCACAATTCAATAAGGCTTCTTTTACCATTGTCACGTTTTAGTAATTTATTTTATTACTATTTTATTATTTTAATTATCTTTGTAAATTCATGATCATTGGTAAGAAACTAAAAATAAATTTGGTATATAAATGTATTGTATAAAATTAATATAATTCCCGCGCAAATAATATTAACATCGATAAAATTAAATAGAAAACAGCATGATTTCAACACATTGTATTTATAAAAGCGATAAGTTCCACGAAACAGGCCTTATCTAAGCAACGGGTTAACAATAGCGACCCCTACCATTACATTATTAAATAAAACGACAACATTTATAGTAATTAGTATTTTAGCATCCATAGTATTAAAACTGAAAGAATATTAATCTTCTATTTATACAAGCAGCAATGTATTGCAATGTCGATACGATAGTCGTAGTACCGGTGCCTATGCGTCTCGCTCGTTGCCCTTGACGTTTGCATTAGAAAACTAGTTTTCACTTTAATTCACTATACCGTCAATAGGCGTTACACGTGTTTGATAGAAGCGTGAACCTTCAAATTATAATAATACACCTAACATAGTAATTTTTATTAAATTTTATTTTTTATCTGTCGCCTGCAACTCCGTGAGCACGGAATTAAAAAAAAACTTAACCTAGTAGCCTATGTATTCTTTAAGACTGTGGTCTACATATATACCAAATTACAGAAAGATCCAAGCAGCCGTTCTGGACATACATTCAAACAAACATTCCCATTAATAATATTAGTAAGAAGTAAGATTCTATAGTATTGAGGATCATAAAACGCGAAAAGAGCTAACATATTAATTGTAAATATTACTTAAGTAAACTACAGTTAGATTAATTTGTCCAAGTCTCCAATACAAGTACAATCCATTTATAAACTGACTTCTGGGTACACTCAGGCAGAACATTGAAAAATATCTGTACACTCGCGTACAACAGTTGAAATTTACTTCACGAGTGTACAACATTGGTTACATAAGCTCAAAGTGTACAATGTACACTTCAATGGCGTTGTACAATACGAAGTGTACATTTGATTACTGTACAGTGTTGGAAATAAGAGCAATGCTCGTACATTAAATAGGTAATGGGGCCTAGGCGTTGGACAGACGGAACAATAACATTAAATTGTACGCTGAGAAGTCTGTGTTTAGCGAGTGGAACAATATTTTAATAAACAAAATTGTGTTGCTGTTAAATTTCCATTGTGTGGAAGTGTGTGACGCACAATGTTTACATTTGCAACTAGAAATGATATAATAATTGCTTATTATACAGCAAATATTCATTATCAGATGCACATCTTATACATGGTCGTAAATATTTTCCAACTTGTATGCAACAAAAAAGAACACATGTAGCATATTTTATTGAGCACTTTCATCACAAATCGTGATCACAAATCTGATTAAGCTATTAATTTAAACTACAATGCTACTAGCACATAAATACGATATAGAAGTGACAAGTAATATCGTAAAATATACGATCGTATTGCAATTATGGTAACTAGCTATACCACTTTCACCATTTGTCGGCGCGTCCGTCACACGACGGCTGAGATTTACCGTCGTAATTACAACGCTACGAGGCATCGAGACCTATCAATGAATACATTTAAAAGTATCCGTATCCATACATCGACTTTCATTCCTACTGTTACTATTGAGACTAATATTAATATTGCTGAATTCGTACAACGAATTAATTTATCAAATTTGTACAAAATAAGACATCTTACTTCTTACTAACATTATAAATGCGAAAGTTTAAATGGATGAATATTTGTTAGATGGTATCTTGGGAACTGCTGAACAGATTTCGATCAAAATTGATACTCATTTTTTTAATTTAATTTTCTTTTTAAAATTTAATATATATTTTAAAAAGAAACTGCGTTCTTACTTAAAGTTATCAAAGGATAAAAAAATCATATACTACGCGATTTACACCAAAATAAAAGTACAAAGTCAACACAAGGTTATAAGTTATCGCCGAAGTCCACGAAAACACCGACGATTCTTCGAAGACTTTTGTTAACAGTTTTTTCAAATAACTTTTCACTTATCTTAGGCACATGCTGTAGCCCGCGATTCTGTCCGTACAAAATTTAAAAAAAAAAACTTTGTTAGTACCCTATGTATTCTTCTATACTGAACTGTTAAGACTATTTAAAATCATATTCAGACCATCAAGAACACTCATTTATATTGTTGACTATATATTTATAATATTACATAATACTGTTATTATCATAAAGAATATAAACAGAATCTCAATTTTATAAGTTATTATTAAACTTAATAACAAACAATTGACTGAGAATTTCCCAGGTCGCAATTGTTATTTTGGTAAAACCAATGTTAAACAATTTTTATTACGTTATTTCCTTTTACGAAAACGGTAAAGATTTTATAAAATATATAACTGGATCGGGGGAATGTCCGATCACTTACGTATATAAAGAAACAGTGTGTATGTAGTACTATGTGTATATTCCTTATGATTTTGTATTTAGTCGAAAGAAAATGAAAAAAAAAATTGAAAAATCTTGGTATCCAAAAAATCGTCATCTAGCTTCGATATACATATTTTAGTGTTAGCCGATTAACAAGTCAAATATCATGACAACAAAAAAACGCAATAATAAAATAGATACTAAACCCAATAAGTTCGCAAACACATTCGCAAAAATCATCAAATAAAAAAGGTGTAATCAAAACGTTCAGTTTATAGTAGAATAGCAGCTGTCGCACGCAACTCAGTTCGCGCGGAATTAACAAAACCATATTTAGTAGCCTATGTGTTCTTCCAGACTATGTTCTATATGTATGCCAAATTACAGAGATCCGTTCAACTATTTTATAGATACTTTCAAACAAAGATCCAACAAACCATCTAAACATACGCATTAATATTAGTAAGATAATATCAGTGAACGCACCCGAACACCGCGGACCCCACCCTTAACTTAGGTCGTTGACACGCGCCACATATTTTCGACAACGGATATTTTTTTATCAGACTTGATAACCGACGGACGACGAATTCTGTGATATACATTAAAACAGGAAGCACTGGTTTTGCTAATCACGTGAGATGGCGTGCGTTTGACCAACCGTAAAATCATAATCAAGATTAAAATTGCTTTATTCGCCTTTCTTACGGATTATTTAAAATAAATATTAACATAGTATTACTATAATAATATTATAAATGCGAATGATTAGATGGATGGATGTTTGTTTGAAGGCAGCTCCAAATAGACTCCATGGATCTCGATAAAAATTGGATCAATTTTAAAATAAGTATTTAAATACAACACATAGGCTATTTAGTTAGTTTTTTTAACTAGCTCTCGCCCGCGACACCGTCCGCGCGGAATAAAAAAAACTTAATAAGTAGCCTATGTATTTTTCCAGACTATGCTCTACAAGTGTGCCAAATTTTATCAAAGTCTGTTGAGTAGTTCCGGAGTTACCTCCAAACAAACATCCATCCATCTAATCATTGGCATTTATAATATAAAGATTCCACGCAGACGGAGTTGCGGGCGACAGCTAGATAATTATAAAAGTATATCGTATTTTAAATATATTATTACATGCTAATGCTATTATTGCTTGCCGTGCTAAAATATTTAGGTAATCAGTATCATTTTACTTATTGATTTTCAAAACAAAGCTTTATAGAAAAGAAAGAAAATAGTCTATAAATTAATGCACTATTGCAAAATACATAATCGTAATTCAATATGTGCTCAGGTCGTTCACCTTATACGACATTTGCCAAGCAAGTTGGAGGCAGTAGGCGCGGAAAACGCGAGACCTCTATCGATACACATCACGAACGTAGATGGAATAATAAAAAGTAGTTGGAGGATACTAAGAAATCGTATTTGGACCAGTTTTAGTCCAATGGACGTAGTCAAAGGCATATTACAATATTTAGTCTATGCGCCTAGGAACTATACAATAAAATATATATGTACGAAAACTTATGTACTTAATAAATTAAGATATTTATGATGAATTATGATGGCTTTCTAAGACCGAAAACTCTGTTTAAAACATATATCTGTTTTGACAAAAATGACAAGGATGACGTTTGATACAGATAATGGTTTTTTTTATAACAGAAGGGGGCAAACGAGCAGCGGGAACACCGTTGGTTTCAGAAACCAACGTTTAGTTTATTATAAAATTATAATATTTCTGTGTAGTGCTAACTTTCGAAGTCGCACAAAAGTATTCAACAATATTTTATCGGAGTCCGCAAGTTCTTGCAATTAGTTGAGTCACGTCTGGCCGTCTTAACCGGCAATTTATCAACGGTGGTCTGTTTAAAATTTCCAGTAAAATTTTGCTTATTCAATTAACTAGGCGATTGCCTAAGTGAGGGGAATTTCGCAAACTATTACTCTTTGAAATTCAGAATGTTGCAAATTGCTTCAAACAAAACAAATTTTATGCCTCATTTTAATCAAAGTTACACTGTGTTTTGCTTTTAAACAGTTGATACAATTATATAAAACATACAGTCATCCCTCTTATTCCCTTTGAAAAGACAGAGACATAAACAATGTACGCTGTCTTACTTTAGTTCACTTTTACAATAAGAAATTAATACGACAAAATTAAATAGCAACTTTTATAAACACTTAATGACATTTTAATAGCCACAGATTATATAAATACGCGTAACAAGTCAACAATACTATTTGTGGGCCAGTACATAATAATTAACAACCATATAGTTGCGTCATAACAGAACTACTGCTACTTACTAATGCTGCAAATACAACCTGCTTTCGTAATGGTGGATCCACGCTAGAATGAAACAAAACTTCTACGTAAACAATTAAAGTGTAGATAGTCTAAAATAATATTTCAGCTTAATACCTTCATGTGTTCCTGAGAAAAAGGATCTTGACAGATAGATGGATAACAAAGTGAACCTATAATGGTTCTCTTTTTTCCTTTCAAGGTACGGAACCCTAAAAGTCGCCCATCTAACCGGGAGTCTAGTAGTCATTTGTTTTGATTTTCGTACTTCCATCTATTGCAAATTCCCAATCGCGAATTAATCTGGATTTCAAGATAATCCAACATTCACCAAAGTAACACGACGAGGAGTACTGCGTGGTTACGCAAAATGTAATTGCCTTGAGACGATTTTCAAAAATGAATAAAATTGACGCGCGATAATCACATGACTTATCGAAAATTATTGTCATTTCTATACATTTTTGAAGTTCGCTATTGAAGCCTTCGCCTCGAAGCAAATGCATGCAGTCTAACCCGCTGATTTTAAAACTTTTTAAAACTATATATATTCATGTATTTTCCGTAGTATTATGACATATGTTCTCAACTATAACGAATACTTGTTAAACAAATGACAAACGTATTAAAACAAGTTATCCGACCTTCGAATTGAAATGTTTTGCATAAAACTAGAATAAATTTTATTTAACTAACACCTGAATAAAATCATTTGAAACAATAACTTGAAAAACCTTGAGAATATGAAGACTAAGAATAGAAATAAACCATCTTACTTCTTACTAATATTATAAATGCGAATGTTTAAATGGATGGATGTTTGTTTGAAGGTATCTTTAGAGCGACTAAACGGATCTCAATGAAATTTGGCATACATATAGAACATAGTCTGGATGAACACATAGGCTACAAAATAATGTTTTTTTTTTACTTTCCGTGGGGATGAAGTCGCGGGCGACAGCAGATAAAAGTATTGTAAAATAAAGTTTATTCTTTTGACAGTATGACAATTGTCGAGTACAGAGTATAATATCTTAGCTAGCTAGCATAATAGTACGCCGGATGAATTAATTCCCGCCATTTTATAATCTGTTTAGCGTCGTAATTGGCTGTACAGTCGTCTGATGCTCTATTTAATGTCGTAACGTATATCGCAAAATCTCTCAATATCGCTGGATTAATGTTCCACGACCCTTTCAAACTTCCATCGGAGCGGATTTATTCTTCGCTACGTAACCTATCTTCAGCTTGCCTTGTTAAAATCTGAATTTACATTTTTTAATTTACATTAAATTAATGTTATTAAAATATTTGTGACATTTCCGTATGTTAATTACATTTTAATTAATAATAATTTGCATTTTTTAAAATCTAGGTAAAAATCGGATACATTTATAAACAACTGGCTGTTGCCTGCTATATCGACCGCGCAGAAACAAAGAAAACACTAAATGAGTAGCCTATGTGTTCTTTCAGACTATGTTCTACATCTGTGCCAAATTTCATCAAAATCAGTTGGATCGTTCAGGAGATATCTTCAAACAAACATCAATCCATCAATCTAAACATTCGCATTTATAATATTAGTATAAAGCATATGATAATGGGGCACATGCATGTTTAAAATTATATAAAAATCACCAAAACCAACTCACTGTTACTACTTACACTCCTCGGAAGAAAATAAATCAAATAAAACCTCAATTACTAAAAACAGTTTGGCTGATTCCAAATCACAATAAAAGAAACAAAAGACTCGTAAAAAACATAATTGTAACATTCTTTAACGTTTCAGTTTGCTGTACAATATTTTAACATAAATGGGAAGGGAATTAATTTCTTTGACTATGCAATTTGAGGACCGGTCTTATAAATTCTTGAAACAACATACATACATCGTGTACGTCTATGAACAGTATCGGGTTACAGTGTATTAGTGCACAGCTAAGGAGGTTGACTTGAAGCCACTTGCAATCCAGATTATTGGATTATCCGCGGAGGGCGCGCGTGTTCGCGGCGCATTTGCACAAGGCCTTAGTTGTTGACAATTTGCGAACATGTTGCTTAACACAAGAGAAATTGCAATAAAGCCAAATTAATTACTTTTGTACTCCAGATTAGATATTTAGCATATTAATATAATAAAAGCCGAAGTTTCGATGGATGGATGTTTTTCACTACGTACATCTAAAACGGCTTAACGGATCACGATCAAGTTTGATATAGATATAGGTAGAACATGTGTAAGAACACAGGCACAAAAGTGCGCAAAATTATTATTTCTTAAATTATTTGTTTTGAAAGTATAATCTCAGGATTCTAGAAGTTTCTTCGCTAAGATACAATAAATGCAGATCTTATAACACTTATTAAGAATATTATTTAAAAAAAAATCTTACCCAACGCCTCCTTCCAAGGCGGTCACCAAGCCTTGCGTCACATAGCACTTAAGCATACCAGCTAGGTCCCAACACTTATCACCACTCAATTCAATCGTTAAAATATCACAAAACAAACAACTTTACACGAACACAAATATACAATTCAATTAATAAATTAATCCACACCACGTACAAACATTTTCTTCAATAATTAACTTTTAAATCCGTAGACGAGAACTGTGGAAATAAATTAGGAATTGGTCACACTGGCAGTAATTGACATAAACCAATCATAAAGGTATTTCATTAACAACAATTTAAACATCACTTGGTTACCGTAACTAATTGATATTCATACCAATCTAAACATAGATATTTTAAAACTAAAAGTAAAAATATATTGAGTATAAAACAAAAAAAACGTTTTTATATTTGAACTATACTAGAGGTTGTTTTTTTTTAGAGTTTGGATTTAAACAAGATAAATAAATGCATCACTGAAAATTTCAAACACTGCAATAAAGTTAAATTCCGTCAAATTAATATAAAAAAGGATGTAAATTGTAAACAATAAATAACCCATCTACAAACAATTACGTTAGTACGATTTTAAACGGTTAAAAGTATAGAAAAAAAAATTGCCAATTCAACCAAAAAGAAAAACTACACCAAACAATAAAGAAGTTTTGAAAAGTTAAGGAAGAACGCCAAAGCAAACTAATCTCAATTTAAAAAAAACTACGATTGCGCGTATGAATTTCCTTAATATATTTAAATCCGTAGTTCGAGGTAAAAACTTGATATTTTCCCTATATTTATCCGTACAAGGTAAATAAGAACAAGTTTTTATTCTAAATAGATTTAGACGTAAACATAACTAAATACGTCATCCAAAGGTTAGTTCAAAGAAATCAGAAAAAAATCATTAGGTAGTTAAGTAGTTTTCCTTTCTTATTTATCGACGAAAAGTAATTTTATAAACCTTTAATATTGTTAAAATAATAAACACTTTCAATGCTACTGCGACTTTTCTGTACTATCCATACTAATAAATACTAATATTATAAAGAGGAAAAGTTTTTTTTTTGTATAACAGAAGGGGGCAAACGAGCAGCGGGAACACCGAGGTGTTTAACGACGCCCATGGACATCAGTAATACCAGAGGAACCGTAGATTCGTTGCCGGGCTTTGTTTGTTTGTTTGTTTGCATTGAACAGGCTCTGATACCACTAAACCGATTTGAAAAATACTGTCACTGTTTGGAAGCTACACTATCTTTGGATGACATAGGCTAAATTTATTACTAGTTTTTTTGTTGACTGACAGCTAGTATAAAGTGTTGTCACAGGACTTGGTAGCACTGAAAGTGTTATACGGGATAATTTACTTATAACCATTATTTTAGATGATTCCTTAGTTATCTGTATTGTGAATGAATGTGTTTTATTATCGAGACATTGTAACTATACGAATCAAGATAAGATGTTACCAAGACAACGGGAACTGTAAGAGAGGCAAAACCACGTACAATTATTTGTCAAGTTTAATTACCGTGTACGTGAAAAGGAAATTTAATATACCGAAATACTGTTGGGTCACATTCAACATACCTACTTTGAAAATCTATTTTTGCAGTGTCTATGAATTTTATGTTATATAAAATTAACCATCTAATTATAAGGAATAATTAATCAGAACAAAACTCTTTATTAATATGTTTTCCGATCACATCATATCTGGCTATAATAATACAACATTTAAATCAAAAATTTATATAATAAATATAAAGGGCTGTTTTCCATAAGTCCAATTGATCGGAAGGCCAATCGGCCAATCGGTCGATCGGCCGAACGGGAAACATCCAATATAAAATACATCAACCTGTGTTAAAAAATTTAGACAAAATAAACAAAAAATCGTCAAGTCTTTTCTTGAAATATAAATTTCTAGAAATATTTCCGATTCGGAAGACCTAACCAAACACACAAAACATATAAAATATGTAAATAAAAGGCAAATGGATCTAAACACTATGTCTATATTACTTGATAAAATATAAAATCTATTGATTTTGGAAAAGGTAAATATTAAAATCTGATATTCACGACTAATCTTGCAGTAGACGTGTAGACTAAGTTACGTAAACGCGAAACATCTTTGTTCGAAACTAGTTTAATCTTTGGTTATCTTTGAATGACAGATTGTTTAATCTATTTTTATATTTATGAACTCATAAACTGTAAAGTTATAAACTACATTTTAAAAAGATTTAACTTAATTTATTACCTATTCATATAACGCGACAAGATCTATGCTCTATTACATAAAAGATAAATAAAAAAGTTTTTTTTTGTGTTAATGTAATCATTATGTTTACACTATTATAATTGGAATTTTTATTATTAAGATTTTCCCATTCTTTTCATTCATTTAGCAATATATGCCAATTCAGCTAGTAGTAATTAAAAAGCAATCGAATTTTAATATATCAATTATCATTTTTTTCATAAAATTCTAATTTAAACAAAAGGTTATATTTTTGTAGCGTTTGTCAACGCCATCCGGTGACCAAAAGCGTAACTAATGCCGATACGGTTTTTCTAGCACCTAACTGAATTACATGTTTACATTTTTTACTTAGTTAACAAAGCATTTTATCGGCTACGTTATTGAGTCTTAAATATTTTTCAAAGACTTCTGTAACTACCCACTTTTTAAGAAATCCTATTGTTCCATACGATTATTTTTCATTTCAAAACTTAAATAATCAATTTTCAGACATTTTGAAAACGTTATAAAATGTTGAACAAAGAATAAGCAAAGAACAAAAGTGTGTTAGTCATTTCTTATACTAATTATGACTATTAGAGATAAAGCTTTTCAAATTGTATGTTTGATTTAAAAAAAAATCAAACGTTCCATAAATCGCGGCTAATCGTAAACAATTCCTAGTTCCAGCAACCAAGTGAGCGTCATGCATGAGTCAACATTATGGACATTACATCCGTCGGATTCTTAAAAAAACCGCAGCGAACACCACAATCCGAACATCCAAACACTGCAATCCAAATGGTCCGAGTGTACGCGCACGGGGGTTCGTGCTCGGCGGCGCTTCGCTCGCCTTCGTGCGAATACCCGCCAAAAGCGAACGCACGCCCTCAGTCTGTTGTGGTTATGTTGTGACAGGGCGAGAACTAACGTCAATACGTCCGCTCCGTGGGCAACGCAGCGCGCGACTGCCGCCGGAGGGGCGGGAGCGACGACTCGCTCGCAGGTTATCGTCACTCGGCCACAGATAATGATGTCAAAAGTGGATCGGACTAATGCTCTCTATTATGTTGTAAACGTCCCGAATACCACGCTGAGCTTGCACTCGACGCCAAGATCCAATCCTACCAATTGATTGAGGAACCATTGATATGCTAATCAATGACAGATTGATCGTTTATTATTTAGTTATAGATTGAGATCGACATTTCCAAAAAAAAATATCGAATCAATTTCATAGTAATTGATAATTAATACTAAGCTATTGAGTTACGTGTGCTAATTAAATTTAAAACAAAACTAGTTAATAGTTATAAAACTAAAACATATTAATCGCTAAGTACCTAACAGATCTTTAACAAAGACGAAGTCGAATTCCGAAACAAGTCGAGCGCCGAGCTTCGACATTGACGATAATTTTATTGTCCCTAGCGCCGATCAACATCAATGTAAACAAAAACTCACCTTAAAACAAACACGCCACGACAATAAATCGCTTAACAGGCCTCACTTGCGCACACTTACTCCCTTCTATTTGAAAATTGTTGATTTTTTGGCGAACCTCGAAATTTGCACCGTATCGTTATTGTGTTGGAGTTGTTAAAGGATTGTTCGCAGTAATTCGATACGTTTCGTACATCTCGAAAGTTATTAGCGGATGTGGATTGCTGGAAAAGCGACCGTAACTGTGTGATCATAAGCTTGTGATTACAACACAATAGAAGCGAGGTATTTCCATTTAGCAAGACGTTAGGAAGCTTTACATTTTGGTCGTATTAAGGAGCGGGTTTCGTTTGATCAATGTATTTTATCTCTGTTGGTCGAGATTGTGTTCCGAATATCATGAAATAGTGGTGAAGATATTAACGGACATGTACACGAAATCTAAATTTCTTCGTCATATGAAATTGAAAAATTTCGCAATCCAGTGTATAACAATTGTCGTTGCAAAAGTAACAACTAGCCCTACAAAGATCTTACGGTAGTTTTTTGATAGTGACAAAGAGGTGCCTACAAATTTAAAGGGTTACGAGTAACCAAAAACATCCTAACTTCTTTCGAAAGTCTTCCAAGTTGCAATTCCAAACAATTGATTTCCGATGACCCGAGTTACTGCTAGTGTCATTCTTTCCTATTTAAATTAACACATCTGCATTATATTTATATGTAATTACTACATTATGAGAATGGCAACACTAAACTAGCTGCTGCTCCCTCATTGGTCAAAATACGACGCTGTCAAGATGACATTGTTAGTTCACATATTTTCCGTCTGTCAAAAGATCCTTGTAATAACATTAACAGTTTGGCACAGAAAAAAACACATACAAATGTATGTCATCCATTTAATATATTGGGTACATTTTATCAGTTACAAACAGTCAGTAGGAGGTGATTTCAAATGTCCTAAATGTTTAGGTAGTTCGCGAATGCAAGCCGTAGCTAAAATAAACACTGACATCAATTAGCATGCGTCCTCACTCCAATGGAAACATAGTCGCATCACACAGTGTTTAGCTACAAATAACATTGAAGACGAATTAATATCTAGACAGTGAATTAATGATCCATAGAGTTCTTGCTTAAAACATTTACGATAATTAACTGCGAAATTAAATTTTACTGTAATATTATAAATGCGAATGTTTGGATGTATGGATGAATGAATTGATGGATGTTTATTAGTAGGTTTCTACAGAATGGCTGCATGGAATTTGGTATAGATGTAGAACATAGTCTTGAAGAACACAGGCTACTATAATAAGTTTTTTTTTAATTCCACGCGGACAATTAAACAATATACAATGTATATATTTTATAAAACAAAAAATGGGTCATAGACCTATTACATAATTTACTTTTGGCTGTACATGTGGGTCTTTGGTGGATCTCACAATAGTATTGACAAGGATATAGTCTTCAATGTCAAATGTGAAATTATGAATGACATCGAAAAAAATAAGTCTGGGATTGCTGACCACTCATGGTCGTTGATCGTACTCGAGACCATTATGATGTGTCAAACAACCCTAATGCTAGTCCTAGTGCCACAAGAAAATGTTCTCTATTGACCGTTTAAGCGAATTGTACGCAGATAACTAATACGCCATGACCCAAATTTCATTTGACGGCCGGTCGCGTTCAGGGTTGCCACTGTCTAAAATATTACCACAAGACGTGACGTGCATGTGGAAATAACATTTGGGAAAAAAAAAAATTTGGTTGAATTGTAATAAATTTTCTCGAAACATAATTAAAATCGATAACGACCATACTTGGTTATATTTAATGTCGTGCAACTTTGTATTATTTTACATTGGCAATATTATTTTTTATTCTGACCAAAGAACAATTGCCAAGTGAAGAAACGAAATGAACAATAAACAATTAAAATCTATAATTCATACGTACAATGGAAATTAAAACCTAATTACATACAAATAGCTTATTCTTAATATACAAACAATTAATTAAATTAATATTTTCTATACTATAAAACTTTGTTAATATTTACAAAAAAAAAACAATGAACAATGTAAAATAAACCGTACAACACTAAAGCAATATCCGTCAACTTTCTCGATGAAATAAAATGGAAGTACTCAAAATCCGGACATTTATTTCTCACGCGCAACACTTCCGGAGCGGCTGGCGCGCCGGACACCTGCCAGCCCTGCGCGTCCGGACTACGGGGCCGGGAACATTCGGGAACAGGATTATCCCTTAGGGTAAAGCGGACGAGATTTAGTTTGGTTACACCTTGACGAATCAAGGAGCTATAGTTACCGAAATAAAAAAGTGGTGGCGTAACATCTAATTTTATTACATATTGCTTATATGTCGACTTGAAAAGCTTTAATTATTTCAGCCAATGTGGTAAAGTTGCGGAAAATACCGATGGCGTGGGACATCATCATCAGCTCTCTGTACGTCCCCAGCGAGGGGCTCGAAGCCTACCCTAAGTTTAGGGTGATTAGGCCATAGTCAACCACGCTGGCCAAGTGATACTAAATCGAATCCTAAAACACTTTATACACTATTAAATGGTCCTGATCGGGTAGCTACTATTATATAATTTAAACGCAAACAAAATGCGTACTATTAGTGTCGCACCCCACTTGAGTGTTAAGATTGAATCCAGCAATCAATTACGTTCTGGATTGTTCGACTAATTCCGTTTTACGGTAGCACCACACCGGGTGGGCGTACCGAATACCGGTTAAATATGCACGCAAACGTCCAGTGCCGGGAATAGCCGGGGTAAAGAACAAGCGGGAGATGCTCTCTAATGTGATTACACTTTGCACATGGCAAACTTTACGGCTGAATGAATATCCCAGACTGGGAATTGCGGTCCGAATCAGTGATCCTAAGTGGCTTTGGGCCTTCATGTATCCGTAAATATATTTGATAAATATTGATAAGAGTAATTATGGCACTCAAATATACATACTAATTTCGTTACTAATACGGTTGTAGCCTTTTAACTACTTGTCAGTTTTTCATTAACAACTGGACCTCATGATCCGCATTCCTTTTGGAAAGAAAGTATTAGCCTATATATTCTTCCAGGCTGCGGTCTACTTCCTAATTTCAGCGAGATCCTATAGCCATTCTGGAGATACCTACTTTTAGACATCATTAGTTAGAATCCTTTAGCACGAATGGCGCGCTTGCGTTACCCAGTAAAGTATCAGATTGATGAGTGAAAGGACATAAACGTTGATATTTTAATACGGCTAGTGCTGCGCCGATACACCGGCAAAGAGTCGGATTTTCTACCTAACACTTCAAGATAAATTCTATCCATCCGTCCATCAGAACTTACGCATATTTTTATAAGAAAAGGGGGCAAACGAGCGGCGGGAACACCCACAGCGGGCGGTGATCAACGACACCCATGAACATCTGCAACACCAGAGAAACTACAGATGCGATGCTGGCCTTTACGGAAATGGTATGTTCGCTTCTTGAAGGACCCTAAGTGGTATAGACCGTTCCACAACGCGGCTGTGCGCGGCAAGAAATAAACGCATTAATGATTATTACGATTATTGTATGTAGAGGTCAAAGTATCATAAAGTACAAACATGTAAAACTGATGCAGAGTTAGCGCGGGGTGATATTATTATTCCCCGTGCGATACACAGACGTCTAGACGGCAGGTGAGCGGCGCTCTGTACGACCGAATGCGCGTGCTTACTACTGTCGAATATGAAAATAAATTATAATAACCCTCATATCATTTAAATAAATGAAATCTAAGGACTATCATATTACCAACTTGTAAATAATACATCGCTATTACTTAGAGATTTGCTTACAAAATAAAAAAAAAAACGAATAAACTGTCTTCAATATCAATTCAAATATAAGTAATAAGAGAAATAAAACTTGAAGCATTTGGATCTACTGACAGTATCACAACATACAATGTATGACATGCTCATTTCTTTGATAAAGGAACAATAGAAAGAGAACATTTTATACTAACTTAATTGGCCCGGTGAAGAGGGGCTTTTTAAATCCACAACACTGCAAAAAGAAACATAATAAGTGACCGTTTACACCCAAGGCACTTGTGTATTGGATGTAAACTATCACAATACCTGCAACGAAGTCGCATGTCGCGTCCAGCAGGGATGGCGCCGCACCGTGTGCCGCGCTGGCCGCGCCGTCGCCCACCGTACACCACACGAATATTCACGGGCTTAATGTCCGGTACTTCGTCGGTGCCGCTGCAACCATCGCCCACTTGTCCCACCTGCTCGCTTGCTTCAGCAGCGCGACACCATGCCACCGCTTCATCCAATATTAAATCTCGTTTTTCCAACATAATTTTTCGTAATTCTTCATTTTTTATTCCCCGAATTAATTGCGTTAGAATCAAACTATCTCTCATATCCTTGAATTCGCATGACTTACTTTTTACTTTTAATGTCGCTAAATATT